CAAGTGCAATTCTAAGAAATACAACTTCATTCAATCTATTGACTTGAGGGGATGAAAGAGTCATAAATCAGGAAAACTAGAAAATATATTCAATCCTACTTAATAGTACAATTTTCAAGTCTAATGAAATAAGGCTTATGTCCATTTTAGGAATCCTCTCAAATGAGGTCCAAAAATTCAGGAATGGCTCAAAACAAAAAGAAAACAGGAAATTCTGGCTTAACCATGACTACTAAAAATAATTTAATTACCAATCTATGACTTCAATAATTCAGTTCCCTTAGAACCATACATATCAATGTCACCAAGTACCTAATATTTTACAAAAAAATTCTACGAAAGATAAAATGTGAATTTCCACATAGCAATACATTCTTGAAAATATAGGAACAATACTGTCTTTGAATTAGCAATTACACTCAATTTTGGATATCTGTTGGCTATTAAGATGACTTAATTTTACAAATAAGAACTGGTAAGCTAAAATTATAATATAATTCTCTTCTCATTTTAAGGCTTATCACTTAAGAAAAAACATAATTATGAATTATTCTTGGGTGAGCAAATACCTATTTGAGTGATGAGAAATAGTCTCTAAACATTTTGAACATTCATCCCTATCAATAAAATTTTTAGTGTATTCTAATATATGGAGATTTGCTTATGTAATATATACCATGTCTTTTTTGAATATACAGTAATTTTCATGAAAACATATGCAAAAACATTTTAAGAGAATGTTATAAAAAAACTTTGGAAATGACCATCTAAAGAATCATTCAAATTAAATGTACCAATAGGTGAATGTCTTCTAACAATGCTAACAATTTCAACTAAGTAATGTTTAATGTAATATTCTCCAAATACAGAAATCCTATTAAGACAACTGTTTTCTCCTGTCTGGTAATCCTCTAGGATATTAGAGGTCTGGCCTGTACTTAGCCATCCTTCYATCATTAGGAACAGTCATAAATGGCCTTCATAATATAGGCTCTAATTGTCAAGCGTTTCATAATAGCATAAAAAATATTCTCTCTTTATAGAATAATGAGACAGAAAAGATGAATGCCCAGTTTGATTTTCTTTAAAAATGTCTACAGAGTATACTTTATGTTCCTCCTCCATACCTCCTCTGAAAATGGGGCTATAAGGCTGTACTAACACTTTGACCAGAATGTTCAAAGAAAAAAAAAAACAAGAGGGATGCTTTGCTTCAGACCCATGAATTACAAAATCCCTACAATAGTGGATTCCCAAATTCTGCCAGAGACTGTGTAGCACAAACGTTTAGATGTATACCTATAACCACCCTCTATCCTTTCCCTTTTTATTCAACCCTGGACTAGACTCAAAACATTTCATCCTTCAGCGTCACTATTCCCTATAAACATATAAGAATATTGCAACATCAACACTTAAGTGGTAAATATCATGAAAAAGATCACGTAAGTCAGAAGTGAACTCCTAAATGCTCCTTTAGATAAGTTAATCATAACAGGAAGCACACACACAAAAAAAGAAAGAAAACAAACTAGAATTCTATGAATGGAAGACTTATGGTTTGTTATTCCTTCTTGACAGAGCAATGCATAAAAACATTGCTAAACCAATTTAAAACTGTAGTTAAAAAAGTTGGTTTCGATTATTATTACTCTGGAAATTTGTGGGGGRAAAAAGGGTTGTTAAATCTATTAATATAACTTAAGTTTATTTAGGAGCATCTCAAACAAAATTTAACATCTTCATAACCATGTTCATTTTGATATTCTTGGATGTAAACATCAAGATCTACACATACAGTCAGAAATTACAACATCAGATTTCTCTGGTCTGTACAGTCCCCATTTACTAAAGTAAATGAGGTGGTGGGGAGAGGAGGAATATCATGAAAACTGTAGGACAATCAGTCAAGTAAAGAAAAGGGGAGGCAAAGGAGGGAAGTCAGAAATACTGGGGAATTCTGGCCAAATTATATGCTTTATATTATGTGCATGTATGTATATGCAACAGATCTCACCATTTGGTACAATTATACTGCACCAATAAAAATATGGAAAAAAATGGTTGAAGGCCTTAGATATGCATCTTAACTCTAACTATTAGCAAACTATTTTACTAATAAAAAATTTTTCATATTATTATATCATTTTCCAAATATATCATGAAAATAAACTAGTTATGTCAACAGCAGCCATACATATAATAAAGTTCAATTCCAGTGACTAAAACTATCTGTAGTCTGCATACTTTCAGATAAATAAGCAATCTATGCAGTTTTAGGAGCATAGATAATTGGCAAATTGTCTCCATATAGCTTACCACTAGCATTTTCCAACACCATCTGAAATACAAGCTAAAACAGGAGAATTATCTTCAAACTTTAATATGCAAAATTGTTTCAGATATTAAGAGGAAACTAAGAGAATCTCAAGTGTAAAAATCAAGTGATAAAAGCCTAATAGCAAATTTATTTATTCCTAAGATTAAAAGGAGCCTGGAAACCTTCATTAACACTAGAAATGGAATACTGCTTCCTTCCTTGTAACTATGAAGCCCTATTCCTTAATGTAACACCTATGCAGAACAAAAATTAATTACCTGTATGGGAACTACTTGTGCAATTGTAACTGAAAGTCATTTTCTGGTGGTCTATTACAGAAATACTATAAGTAAGGACACATAATTCCCATTCTAGATGACAGAGGTAACAGCCACACTGCATGAACTAGGGTAACTTTACTATATAATCCACTTCAAGCCTTGTTTCAGCATTCCAAAGCAAGAYACTATTTACATTTGGAGAAATAAATCTAAAAACTACCTGTTAAAACTTAGCAAGTAACATTCCTCAAACTTATTGCCAATCATAACTATGAATTCCTGCTGCCAAAAGCAACTAATAATTTTGAAAGCAGGCATCCTTTCTTAAAAGGATTTCTAATGAGCTACTTTTTAACTCAAGCAGTGTAAAACCTTTTAAAAATTATACCACTGTTATATTAAGGAAAAAACCCAACTGGTATAAATGACATGTGGCAGTCTGGCATACACCTGCACATGAACAGAGCAGACAGACACTCAAATGTTTTTGTCAAAATAGCTAGGCAAAACATTCCCCAGAAGCAGTGAACAAGAAATATCAAACAGCTACTGTATTGTAGACACAGGCTTGGCTCAATTGCCTGGGGAATATAAGGTTCAAGTCACAGGAAACAGCTGGATGTTAAATATGAGTGATGTTTGCAAGCCTTTTTTAAAGAGGAACCTAATAAATAGCCCCTCACATACCAGATATCACCTCTGTTCCAAAATAAGCATTTTGTTATCTTCTTACCATTTTTTCTTTAAATACCAAAAAGTGTGAGAAAAGGTTTTATGGAAAAAAATTTTTGGTACTCAATCCTTACTTTTAAGTTCCATTGATTCAATATTCAAAACTGTACCAGTTAATTAGCTTCAAAGGAGTTACCGGATAATATGCAGTTAATAAACAGCAAGTGAGACCCTTTTAAAAACTGTTGTTTTTATCATAAATTAGAGCTTCAAACACTGAGGATATTTTCACTGAAATGACTGAAAAATAGAAACTGGACAATTCCCAAGAATAATCCATATATTGTGGTTGTAAGAATTCAAATTTCCATGAAATGACCTGCTAATGTCCAGGGAAATAACATGTATTCTAAACACATGGTATGTTTAGCAGTGTATTTTGGTATAGTCTACCAAATTGGGAAAATTTAATCTTACACATAGGAAAGAATTCTCAATGTTATTACTGACTTCAAGTGATTATTGACTTTTAAGTATTTCAAATTGTATTAATATCTTTCCAATGTAAATGTTTACATGTATATCCCCCTGCCCAAAGTCACTGTTTATTTAACTGTAGAGCAAAATTCCAATTTCTGCACTTTCAATTTCCACTTAAATTTCCTTTCTTATCTTCTCAAACCAAAGAATTTCCACTGAGTCTTTAATATGTGGGACAGGGAGCAACTAACCTATACAGCATCCTCAATATTCATTTAGGTTTTTAGAATTTCTGAAATAAGTCTGAAAAATGAGGAAAAGGTCAGCATTTCAATTTTTTGAGAATAAAAATTCATAAACATACCTTTTGTTGAATTCCAGCTTAAGGGATTTTTATGTAAATCTTGCAGGTGATGAAAACCAAAAAGCAACCAATCTCTGAGGTGATTAGCCTGTTCTCTTAAGACTATGGATCACCTGCCTTAGGATTTTCTAATTGAACAAGAAATCCATGGGGTAAAATAACTGTTTCTCAAAGGTGGGCAGAATGGAACATTTATATCTTCACTTCAACAGGGAAGCAATGAAATATAATCCTTTGAATATCCCTTTTTTGGAAGATGTTACACTTTTGTCTTTTATCCTCATTTCATGAGATCATTRGCCTGTGAATGTGTCCATGTTTTGATTCAAGATTTTAAAAAATGTTACTTCTGTTTTCTCTAACACCTAAATATGTATAGACAGATCACCCTGATGTGATCACCCTCATTCCTCAATGTTTTTACAGACAGCATGACCAGTGTGCAACTAAGATACCTTATAGGACCTAAGTCTTTTTAAGAAAAGTATTTAGCTGAACCTCTATAATCATGACAAGAGATTGATTAAAATGCCAAGATAAGAAACAATTTATTATAGAGAGAAGAAAAATTTCTCATCCAAAATATAGAAATCTGTACAACTTTGCCACAATCAATATACATGAACTGTACAAATTTACACCAGTTCATAATTTACCAAATAAAAGATGACTAACAAAGTTCACAAAATAGATGGTGGTTTGTGGAAAAGACTTTTACCCAATTAAGTACAAGGAAAGTTACAAACCAGACCTCCACTTTCTAAAAATAAGAAGTTTACTCAGTCTTAGAAAACTACAAGCGAGCAAATGTACAGAGAGCTGGCTGGTGTTAACACCACAGTTGAGACAGTGTCTTTTTTTAAGGGTCTTTTTTAAAAGCCTGTTGCCATGGCAGATTCTGGTCACTTGCTACTTCCAAAGCCAAAAACACAATACAAGGTCTGACCATTTCCCCAGGTCATGCTTACTAGTTTGTCTTTATGTACATTTATACATATTTAAGTGCTAGGTAAAAGTCTTGTAAAATTTCCAGTACTACCATGTTTAAAACAAGCTTTCCTACTGAGCTGCCAAAAAGGTTATCAACAACAATTTTCAAGTGTAATAGTGCAAATTCCTCTGCAAGATCTACTGCAGAGAAAGGTTTTTTGAAATACAGATTTTCCTTAAAGGGATCGATGTTAAAATTTAGGTATGTCTGGGAGAAACTGAAACCACCCTAGGACTTCACTCCCTAGCAAATAAAGTGATCATTTACTTGGACTCACAGGCTATTAAATCATTGAAGGTACTGTCCAAACCATGGCACTGTCACTTTAAAAAAAAAAAAAGATTTTTTTTTTTTTTTAATCACTCTGTCTTGTGCCAGATCTTCACAGCTGTGACATGGTTTAAATTCCATAATCCATCCCCAAGAGGAGCCCACCCAAAGCAAAAATCAAATTTATCCATCCATTATAAGATGATCCATCCATAGACTATATCTTAACCCGATACAGTCATCATATTGTAGTTTTTGGAAGGGCTTGTTCTGCCCAAGAGAAGTTCCTCCTTACAGCTGATTCTGCTGTCTACCATTTGCACGTTGGTGCTGTTTTGAGTGCTACCTCCTGCTGGTGAGGCTTCATACAGCACACAGATGGAGCCATCCTCTCCAATTCTGTAGGACACTTCGTAGGGGTCAACCCAGAGTGTGAGTTCACTTGGGAGAAGCCTGAACAGCTCCTGACTGCTCAGTCCAATCCGCTGTGCTGCCTGTCCAATCAGAGGATCCATTTTATGGTTGATGCGAATACAACGGTAACCTGATCCCTTGCACGGCTTTTCAGGGAACCAGTGATGTTTATAATGTTCTACAGAAGAAAAGAACACAGAAACAATGCTTAGATCGGTACTGTTAGCTTCTCAGTTTCCTCCTGCAAGCTCCCTTGAAGAGCGAAAATGAAAACTACCAACTTCTAAAAATGTGCAGGATTGTGTTCACTGCTGTGCGCGCGCGATGATGGAGAAAAAGCGGGCAGGGTTTTAGAAATAACACAGTAGTGTGGGACAAAACAAGCTCCAGGAACCAACCGGTTGAGCCGCCAAAACAAGAATAAGGCGCGCAGTCTGGCCAGCAGGGAAGCCGGACCGCTGGACCGCACCACGGCCAGGCGGGAACCTGTTTACTTTCTCCACCCCACCCCAGCCACACACAATGGAGTTTATGGCTTTGGAAAAGAGAAACGCACCGGACTATTAACCCCGAAGCGAGGAAAAACAAGAAACCCTAAACCACGCTCAGGGCAGGGCTGTAATTGTGCCGGTGACAAATCCGATGATTAATGGGCAGGGGCAGGGGGTGCGGAGAGACCGCACGTCGGTCCCGAGCTAGCTCCGGGCAGCGGCGCCACGTCCCACCCCGGGGCCGGGCCGCCGACCCCGCAACGGTTGGAGGACTTTGGGGGAGGGGACGTCGAACCAACCCCAGCCCCGCGGCTCCTTTGTCCCCAAATCCACCGACGGTCCTCGGACCGCGACTCCAGCCTCGTCGGCTTTAGTTTCTTTGTTGTGCGTCTGGTTTCTTCTCCCCCTTGGCTGGCAAGCCGAGGTGAGGGGGCGCCCTCGACTCCAGCCCCCAAACCCTYGCCGGGACCCGCCGTTAGCGGCCACCTAGGTGCCGCCGCGGGACCGGAGTGCGGACTGCCCGGTCCGACACGGGATGTGAGGCCCATGTACCCCGACGCCCCGGCTGCCCGCGCCCTCCAGCCGCGACCCGCTCACCTGCCAGCAGCTCTTGCAGGCTCTGGCTGAAGGTCTGCAGCTGTCGCTCGCTCGTGAGCCCCTTGGTGCGGAGGAACTTGGAGATGAAGGACACCGCGGCGGCGATCTCGCCTATCATGGTGGCAGCCCGGGTGTAAAAGGGATGCATGGGGGCGGCGGGCGGGAGCGGCCCGGGGCGGCCGGGGCTCGGCGGCGCGGCCCCGACGGCGGAGCGGCCACCCCGGGCTCCCTCACAGACCAGACGGCTGAGAGGAAGGGAGGGTGTGAGGGGCGGACGGCTACTTTTTTTCCCCTTGCTTTAGAGTAAAAAAGTTATTTCGGAGACAGGAGGCGGCAGGAGAGAGGAAGAGACGAGCGATGGCGGCCCGGTCACATCGCTCGGACCTCCCCAGCCGCCTCCGCCTCCAGCTCCGTAGCCTCCAAAGATCCCAAGAGTTGCATTTCCAGCTCCGAGGGGCGAAGAGATGCTGCCGCCGTGCAGCACTTTTTATAGTGCCGCGGAAAGGAAGTGGCGTAGCTGGAGCGTGACGGCCGACTCTAGCCAATCCGGAGATCGCACCATTGTGACGCAAGCAGATTCGGAGCCTGAGGGGGCGGGAAAAAGGACCCAGGGGGCGGGCCCAGAGACCGGGAAGAGAGGGAGGAGCTGACGTAATCCGCTTGTAAACAAATAAACCCCGAGTGGCGACCGGAGACCAAGTTGCTGGGTCCGAGCGAAGAAGGAAACAGAGGGAGGGTGCGCGTGTGAAAGCTCCGCCCTCCCCCGTAGCTCCTCCTTCCCGCTTTGGCAAGTCCAGGCCCTCGGCCAGCGCATCCTCTTGCAAGGAGTGCGCTGCCTGACTGGAGCTTGAGGCTTAGTGTTGTGTGAGATGTGTCTACRCGCGCGCTGGCTGGTCTGGTCGGGCTCAAATCCATAGCTCCTTTCCCATTGCGCACTCGGTGTTTACGTGTCATCCCCGCTCGGGATCTGCGTGGCTAGTTCCACACGCAGGAAGAGCGTGCAGCGGGATGGGGTGCGGGTAAAGGCTTTATATGTGCAGGAACCGAGCGGTGAGGGTACCAGGGAAACGGATAGGGAAATCGCTCTCATGAGGKATCCTTCCCAAAAAAACCAGACTACATCTTTGGGGAATCCCAGTCCCTTCTCAGAAGAGGTGCCAACGCCATGAAGCCGTTTCTACTCCACRCAGGGAGAAGAATGAGGAAATGTCTTTGTCAAARTTTAAATTTCAAAATAAGTAGGTTAGTAATGCCATTTGTGGCTGCTGTTTCAGTAACTTTGGGAGTTAAAGAAGAGTTGAAACTTTATCGAATCCAGTTTAATGTGTATAGGAAAGCCAGTCATTGAACATAAATGTAACATGGCTCCTGTAACTGAAAACTAAAAAGTCTGCGTATGCATTTAAAAACGTGTATAGACAAAAACAACACCCCCCCCCCAGTTCAAATACTGTTTAAGACTTAGAGTTCTGCTAATCTTAAAAAAAAAAAAAAGAAGAAGAAGAAGAAAGAAAAAAACTTTTGAATCTCGAGAGTATTTAGTACACATCTAATTTTACTTGAAACTCTACTTGCAAAATCTTTTGGAAACAGATTGTGGTAAGAAGGCATGAGCCTGCTAAAACGATTAGACCTAAAACAGGGTTAACCTGAACTCCATTAAGGAGGAGAGGGAAAAAAAAAAGATGAAGGCCAGGCAGGCAGATGGAGAAAGCAAACAAGAGGCAGAAGTTGAACTCTACCAGATGGAAATAAATATCCTGAGCTTAGTTGGTCATCAATATTGCAAAACATGCCACTTTTTTTTTTTTTTAATGCTGAGTCAAAGGGTATAGAAAAGAAGCAAAAGAAGGAGTTATAAAATAGTAGGAGAAAGGGCTTTTTAAAAGATCAAATATATAAACTTTKATTTGAAAGGTTAAATTCTAGGTTATTGTTTTCACTAACACAAAATTAGGTAGTTATGTAGCTTAATGCTTTAAAGATAGTATTAAAAGTATTGATTTGTGAAAATATYAATTGTCTTTGAATAAATACATAAATAATGGTACATAGGTATATTTTTTTCTTCCAAACTTCTCAGATTGAACGCGCTAAAACAAACCCGTGATGATGATTTCACTTGGGGCATGAAACCTCTTTTAGGACTTTAAAAGGAGATCATCAAAAGTAAATGCATGAAACTGTCATGGCCTTAGGTCTTCTGGCATTCCTCCTAACCCCACCCACCCTTAATCATCTGCTCTATTTTTTTTCCCTTACATTATTAGTCATTTGAGTCTAGATTAGGAATCATATCTTGCAAGCCTGATCTCTAATTTGGATTCCCAATGAGGTTGACCTYAAATGATTCATTTACAAAACAAATAATGAAGTTAACAAAATGCCAGGATGTGAACACAGACTTCTCCCCRGTTCATGTTCTCTCACTATTTTAAACTGCCTGCCCAAGCACTAGTAGGACCCATTTTGAAAACTTTATAAAATTAGTTGAACAGGGGCTGGGGTTGTAGCTCAATGGTAGAGTGCTTGCCTACCACATGTGAGGCACTGGGTTTGATCTTCAGCACCACATACAAATAAACTTTATTAAAAAAATTAGTTAAACAGAAACAAAGTTTAACCCATGTACTTGTGGAGGATTTTCCTCCACTGAAGATTTCTTTAAAAAAATATTATTCTATATTTCTGTCTTCAACCTTAAGTTATCCTTTTAAGAAATAAATGTATAAAAATTAATTTCATACCTAGGGGGATCTGAGATATAGTCAAAACATTGGAGATAAATATTGGTCCTATATGTAAGCCTAGATAGTGCACAGTGTTAATTGCTAATGTGTAGTTTTCCATTCTGGACATATCTCTATTTAGCAATGTTTTCAGAAGTTTATTCAGGCTTTTCTCTTCTAGGAAACAAGCTGGTATTTTCTGATAGATTTTGAACTACGAAGATACTTTCTCATAATTTTGTTATACTGAACTACAGGGTTTGACTAACTATTTACACAACTAGCTCCTGGCTGTGTATCTTTAGGCAAGTTACTGAACCTCTCTGCATGGTAACTTCCTAAATGAAACAAAGACTGTTGTGGGGACTAAATGGGAGAACTTCAAGAGACTACTTAGTGTGACCAGCACAAGATAAGCACTGAAATATATATTAGCTGTTTATATTATCAGGTAATTTGATAATATTGTCAAATTCATTTCTAAAACATAAAATTTAAACATTAAAGTATTAAGAATTCTGTCCCCGGCCCCCCCAAAAAATTAAGTCAGGCATAGTGGTGCACACCTATAATCCCAGCTATTCAGGAGGTTCAAGTTCAAGCCCAGCCTCAGCAACTTAGACCCTGTCTCAAAATAGAAAAAACTGGAGATGTGGCTTAGTGGTAAAGTGCCCTTGGATTCAGTCCCTGATAGGTAGATAGGAAGAAGGAGGGAGGGAGGGAGGGAGGGGGAGGTAGGAGG